GATGGAGAGCAGCAGTCTTTCAGGGGAGAACTCTGAGCGTTTCACATGTGGGGCTGGCTATTTGATTAAATGCAGTGCGAAAGGCCACCATCTAAACAACATGGAGCAAGCGCAGGGTCATTATTTTAGGTGAAGTACACTACCTGACAAAAGTCTTGTAGCCTTCCTAAGTTTTAGGAACAGCAAATAATAACTTGACTTCTAGTTGATCATTTGGTATCAGAAGGGGCTTATATGATAGGTAAAGGCCTCTAGATGACGTTTATTTGAGCACAATAAAATATTGTCATGCCTTGATTTTGAATGATTTGATTAGGACAGTAAGATCTGAATTTGCGTGGATAAACGTCTTGTCATTTAACAGAAATAATGTCCAGTATAGAATATAAAGTCCTGCTGCAGTGGAAACAGATGAATATTGTGTCTGACTCCATCATGAACTTGGAGGACTGCATCCATACATCTCTGACATGACTCAAATCACTGATTAATAAAGTCATCTGGAATGTAATCGGTTTGACCTGGCTGTGTATTAAAGCTAATAACATTGTAAATAATGTTCAGTTTGGTACATGGAGGTGTCATCGGGAGCCATGAATATTTGATTTGGACTCATTTGCATATTTATTTTTAATCTAAAAACCTGTCACTTTAACACAAATTTAGCTCAAAAGCTTCTTTAATGTTCTACTGAAGGACAAAAGTCATGTTGTATGATCAGAGGGTGAGTAAATTAACTATTAATTAAATAATAATGTGGTTATTTTAATGGTCAAATGATTTGTATGACTTAAAATTAGCCTATGTTATTAGTTTAATCTATGCTTTTAATATAAGAATACCTTGGAATCAAGTATTCTTATGAAAGAGAAGTTAACACATTGTTGTTTTGAGCTGTGTTGTGTTCTGAATTTTGAGGATTGTGAAAAATGTATTAGTCTGAGCTTCTGAGAGACTTTTGGAGGTGCTGCATCTATAAACATCACTGTGATGAATATGCCATTACAGCCTGATGCTGTCCTTTGACTGATCTGTTTACAGGTCAATACGAGGAACATCACAGACTTTATTTTCATATGCTGTAAATGATTGAGTCGACCCTCTTCTAGCACATCGTTACAATAATCATTCATTAATGCTCGGCTTATTTTCCCACTTTGAAGTGCTGTTCCTTTATATTTTGCTTGATGTTGTTGTTGTTGTCTGTGAATTTATTCATTCATTCAGTCTCACTCTTTGAGTTTCTTTATCCACCGCCACACCTGACCTCACAGTCTGATATGTTACTCTAGAAATACAAACACAGATATTTCAGATTTGATGATCATATGCAGTAGTACACACAGAAACTGGCAAACAATCTGATTAAAATCTGCATGAATGAATGTCTGAATGAACTAAACATGTTTAGAAGATTTAAGGTGTTTGTTTAAAATGTTCTAGTCTTTTTTATAGCTCTTTTTTAAACAATATTTATTGTTCAAAAACAGCTTTACAAAAGGTGCACAATGTCACATTCCAAACACAATCAGAAAAGGTGGAAGAATTTGTGAGTAGCGTGGAAAGTGTCTGGTGCAAATATAACACAAATACAAAATATACATTTCTAACTATTTCACACTTAATTTTCTTAGGAATGAATGAATGAATGAATGGATGGAGGGAGGGACAGACAGATGGATGGATGAACAAATGAATTAATGGATGGGTGCATGGATAGATGTATAAGCGGAATTTTTATGAATAAACAAACAAATTAACAAACAAACAAATGAAAAAAGGGCTGGGTGAATGCATGAATGAATTATGAACAAGTGAGTGAGTGAGTGAGTGAGTGAGTGAGTGAGTGAGTGAGTGAGTGAGTGAGTGAGTGAGTGAGTGAGTGAATAAATCAAGGAATGAATCAAGAAATTATTTAATAATGAATGAATGAATGAATGAACAAATGGATGAAATAATTTAATGAATGTTTGAATGAATAAATTTAATAGATGGATGGATGGATGGATGGATGGATGGATGGATGGATGGATGGATGGATGGATGGATGGACGGACGGACGGATGGGTGGATGGATGGATGGTTGGATGGAGAGATTGCTGGATGAATAAATAAATAAATGGATTAATGATGAATGGATAAATGAATGAATGAATGAATGAATGAATGAATGAATGAATGAATGAATGGGTGGAAGAATGGAGGGATAGATGGAGGGATGAAAGAATGAATGAATGTGTACATGAATTAATTCATTCATTTAAGAATGAAAAAACAAACAAATGGATGAATGAATAAATAAATGAATGAACAAACAGATGAATTACTTTAATAAATGTATGAATGGATCAATTTTATGGATGGATGGAAGAATGGAGGCTGAATTATGTATAAATGAATGGATTAATATATTAATGAATGAATGAATGAATGAATGAAAACAGATTAATTAATTTAATGAATGTATGAATGAAGGAATTTTATGGATGAATGAATAAATTAATGTATAAATGAATAGATTAATAAGTGAATTAATGGATTAGAATGAATGAATGTGTGCATTAATGAATGAATGAAAGAACAAATTGATGAAAGAATTTAATTAATGTATGAATGAATGGATGGATGAATGTATGCATTTGTGAATGCATTAATGAAAGAACAAATTGATGAATGAATTTATTTATGAATTTAATGAATGAATAAAAATGAATGAATAAAAATGAATGAATGAATGAATGAATGAATGAATGAATGAATGAATGAATGAATGAATGAATGAATGAATGAATGAATGGACAGACGGTTGAAAATTCTAACATTTTTTCTTTGTATACATTTATTCTGAGGGGTGTAGTTTCATTCATGGGATTGACCATCCTGTCATCAGAGCTGTGCAACAGCTGCACCTCTCATAGCGTTATCACAGTGTCTCATAGTGTGTGATCCTCTTGTGTAGAGCGGTGCAACTTCTACACAGACTGTGATTGTTATGCTGCCAGATTGCAATTTCCATTTAAGAGGCTGATTGAACTGTTTTTGCTACAGGTGTAAATGCATTGATATGAATATGTGCAGTCATTAATGCTGAACTCAAAGCAGCACGTCTGTATTGTCTTATCATCAGCAGACATTGAACACATTAACTTTGCTGACTTTTCCAGACATGTGTGATACCTACGGAATAAATGTGAAAGTTAAGTGCGTGTAGCTGATTGTCATCTTATTCAAATATCTTTCACTGGATATCAGTCTCCACATCAGTGTCTTGTAATAGTAAAACGATCACTCACTACAGATTTATAGGTACTATAATAGTCTAGGGAGTCCCCAGACTGAGATTAAACACACCAAGATTTATAAAACAGAAACTGCTTATGAAGAACACCAGTGAACCGAGACACTTACTCATAGTCTATGCCTTGAGGAGATCAGATGGTGTGATTTACATGCAGTTTGTTCCTGTTTTGAAGTATTGTAATATTAATAATAATGATAATAATAATATTAATAATAATGATAATAATAATAATACTAATAATAATTCCTTACATTTATATAGCACTTTTCTGGGCACTCAAAGCCCTTTACACGTAGGGGGAAATCTCCTCATCCACCACCAGTGTGCAGCATCCACCTGGATGAATAAATTAATGAATAAATGAATAAACAAACAGATTAATTAATTTAATAAATGTATAAATGAATTAATTTTATGGATGGATAGAGGGATAGATGAATAATTGAATGAATGAATGAATGAATGAATGAATGAATGAATGAATGAATGAATGAATGAATGAATGAATGAACAACAGATGAATTAATTTAATGAAAGTCTGAATGAAGGATTATTATAGATGAATGGCGAGATGGATGGATTAATTCATAAATGAATGGATTAATAAGTAATTAATGGATTATAGAATGAATGAATGAATGAATGAATGAATGAATGGATGAATGAATGTAGAATGAATGAATGAATGAATGAATGAATGAATGAATCAATCAATCAATCAATCAATCAATCAATGGACGTGTGCATTATTGAATAAATAAATTAATGAATGAATAAAAAACAAATTGATGAATGAATTTAATTAATGGATAAATGAGTGCATTCAAAAAAGACAAATAATTTTTGTCCTTTTTGCCCAAAATATTTTTTAAAAATTTAATTGTATAGTTTAATTTTGTTTTGTTTTTGTTTTTCTTTGCTTTGTGTTTGTTTTTGGCGTGTGTGTGTGTTGTTGTTGTTGTTGTTGTTGTTGTTTTTGTTTTTTTTTGTTTTTTTGTGTCTGGGTTTTGTTGCTTGTTTGTTTGTTTGTTTTGTGTTTTTTGTGTATTTTTTGCTTTGCTTGACTTTGTTGTTGTTTAGTTGCATTTTTCTGTGTTTTATTGTTTGTTTTGCTTTGCTTTGTGTTTAGTTAATTTATTTTGTTTCGTTTTTGTGTGTGTTTTGTGTTTTTTTTTTTTTTTTTTGCTGTTGTTGTTTGTGTATTTCTGTTTTTGTGTGTTTTGTGTTTTTTGTGCCAGGATTTTTATTTTTCATTTATTTTTTGCTTTGCTAGACTTTGTTATTGTTTAGTTGCATTTTTTGTGTTTTGTTATTTGTTTTGCTTTGCTTTGTGCTGTTCATTTATTTATTTTTTTGTTTTTTGTGTCTTTTGTTTTTGTGTGTTTGTTATTATTTTTGTTTGTTTGTTTTGTTTAATGCATTTTTTGCTTTGCTTGACTTTTTGCTTTGTTGTTTAGTTGCATTTTTTGTGTTGTTGTTTGTTTTGTGTTTTGCTTTGCTTTGTTTTGTTCATTTATTTGGGTTAGTCTTTTTGTATCTGTTTTCTTTTGTGTTTTGTTGTGTGTTTTGTTTGTTTTTGTTTATGCTTTGCGTTTTGTGTTTTCTTTTTTGCTTTGTTTTTCTCAAAATCTATTTCTTTATAAAATAAATTCTTATCAATCTGTTACATTCCGCATGCTAAATTGATTAATCTGCATGCCGGAAATGACTTTAGTGCAGCATAACAATGCACAGCACCCTAATAAGTTCAGTCCAAAACTGACTACTATTGCCTGCTATTTTACACATGCACATTTTCTTCAGGAACATGCAAGTCCATTCTGGTGTCCTCCACCTTGTGAATATGTGGGCTGGTCAGTTCAACATGTCTGTTTAATGGTGTCTTATTGAAGCTGTTCTTCTCCTTCAGAACTGTATGGCGCTGCCTTGGCAACCCTCATTAACACACTTTCCTTGCTGAGAAACGGCTTTGTACATCACATAATAACTTCCCGCTGGGAGATCTGCTGCTGTTACCTGGAAACTGCATCAGGTCCAGATGCTGATCTGTGTGTCCGTCTCTCTCATCAGTGTCCAGACGGGCTGAGACCCATGAAGGATGGCTCGGGCTGCTATGATTACTCTCTGGGAACCGACTGTACTGACGGATTTAATGGAGGCTGCGAGCAACTCTGTCTACAGCAGCTCGTTCCTCTTCCTGAAGACCCAACATCCAGCAATGTGCTCATGTTCTGCGGGTGAGAGAAAAACACATATGAGTGATACAGTCACAGCCAGAGCAAATACATACATATCCAAAGCACAATTCGGGATAAATTATTAAGATTAGATGTGTATGTATATATACTAAATTATTAGCCCCCGTTTAATTTTTTCCCCAATTTCTGTTTAACAAAGAGCAGATTTTCTCAGCACATTTCTAATCCTAATAGTTTTAATAACTCATCTCTAATAACTGATTTATTTTCTCTTTGTCATGATGAAAGTAAATAATATTAGACTAGATATTTTTCAAGACACTTCTATACAGCTTAAAGTGACATTTAAAGGCTTCACTAGGTTAATTAGGTTAACTAGGCAGGTTAGGGTAATTAGGCAAGTAATAGTATAACGATGGTTTGTTCTGTAGACTATTGAAAAAAAAAACTACCTTAAAATTGTGTTTAAAAAATTTGAAGCTGCTTTTATTCTAGCTGAAATAAAACAAATACAACTTTCTCCACATGAAAAAATGGTAACACTTAACAATAAAGTTCATTAGTTAATGAATTTACTAACATGAACTAATCATGAACAACACTTGTACAGCATTTATTAATCATAATTGAACATTTACTAATGCATTATTAACATCCATGCTTGTTAACATTAGTTAATCCACCATGAGTTAACAAGAACTCACAATGAACAACTGTATTTTCATTAACTAACGTTAACTAACATGAACAAATACAGTAGTAAAGGTATTGTTCATTGTTCAAGTTAGTAAATGCATTAATTAACAGTAACTAATGAACCTTATTGTAAAGTGTGAGCGAAAAAATATTATCAGACATACTGTAAACATTTCTTTGCTGTAAACATCATTTGGGAAATATTTAAAAAAAGAGGGGAAAAAATCAAAGGGGGCGAATAATTCTGACTTCAACTGTATGTTTTCAATATATAAGCATATATATATATATATATATATATATATATATATATATATATATATATATATATATATATATATATATATATATATATATATATATATATATATATATATATATATATATATATATATATATATATATATATATATATATATATATATATATATATATATATATATATATATATATATATATATATATATATATATATATATATATATATATATATATATATATATATATATATATATATATATATATATAT